TGCATTCATCCACATAGTCATACTTCAAGTCACGGTTTCTCAACCAGGAGTGTATGCACCCCCGGGGAATGCATGACGGCATACCAGGGTGTGCGAGAGAGGGGCAAGTACGGGTGCGATGAGAGGGCGTGAGTGAAGGGTACGGGACGGGGTACGAGGGCTTTAGGGGGTGTACGGGGCAAAAAAGGTTAAAGACCAATGCTTTAAGTAATGAACATTGCACTGAATAAGTTCTTCATCAGCAATTCCACTCATTCCCATAATTCCCTCCGCGAAATTCACTTCGTCATGGGATCTCATTCAAGAGAACACCTCACGTTGAATAACTTGAATACTTGAGATCGTTTCTGTGCTGTCATCATCTTATCCGTTGATCTTACACGATTCTGATGCGACTATTGTCACATTCTTTAATAAAATCATATCTTGCGGAATAAAATAATGAATTAATTTATTCAAACTAATTTCAGTGTGACATTATTCGCTGAATTTTTACCAATCGCTCATCGCGCTAAATGCGTTCTCTTAATCGAAGCGTTTTGGTCATTTGGTACTGCTTTCGAAGCAATGCTGGCATTACTGGTTATGGAGCCGTTAGGATGGCGATATCTGCTATTCTTTAGTTCGATGCCTTTGCTCATTTATTGTGTGTGTTGTTTTGTAAGTTTTTTCATGTTTATTCGATAGCTATTATCCATTCATTTATTATTTCGTGTCGTTCACATTATGTTGAACAACATCTGTATTGATTCCGTTCAGTGGCTTCNAGCTATTATCATCCATTCATTTATTATTTCGTGTCGTTCACATTATGTTGAACAACATCTCTATTGATTCCGTTCAGTGGCTTCCTGAGAGTGCACGTTATCAAGTTACTTGTGGGGATTTCGACGGCGCTTATAAAACGCTCGCAAAAGTGGCATATGAGAATGGACGTTCATTACCACAAGGAAGACTCATCAACAAGACTGCTAGTGGGGTGGGTTCAGTTTCTGAAGTTTAAGTTTCAGGCAGATCATTCTTGAGTTCTGTTCATTTCATTTCGAGAGCATTGCAATCAAAATCTCCTTGAAACCATAAATACTTTCAGTATCGTATTAATAACACAACAAAGATAACAATGATAATGAATATACTGATCGAAATAATAATTACGTAATCACTAATTGTTAATAAAATGATTACTGTAGTAATCTTAAAAATGAGAACAATAACAAATCAGTGATAACGATAATAATAATGATTTGTTGAAGGAAACAACAGAATCAACACAGCAAATGGGAAGCATCGCAGACTTATTCGTTAAGGATCTCCGCGTTACCACAATATTACTTTGGTTCATATGGTGATTTCTTGAGATCGTTTCTCTGCCGTCATCATCTCCTCCGTTGATCTTACATGATTCTGATGTGACAATTGTCGCATCCTTTAATAAATTCATATCTTGCGGAACTCGAAGTAATAAAGAAGCCAACTTACTCAATTATTATTTGTCATTATATAATACATGCGCCGCATTTGAAATTTCATAAATTTGATAATAATGATAGTGATAATAATAATTGAAATTACAGGTGTGCGATATCTTTCATATATTACGGATTGGTTCTGTTCACAACAGTTCTGTATCAATCGGATGATCAGTGTCACGGTGGCAGTACTCTTGGGAATGATACAGCAATGGCTGTATGCAGACATCTGGACAAAGAGGATTACTTCGATATCTTGTACACAACACTCGCCGAATTTCCAGGTTTGTTCTCTCAATTTCACTCATCATTATCCTTATATAAATATCAATGTTGCTATTAATCTCGTTGCTTATCACTACTATTATTCTCACTGATAACATTATCAGAGTCCAAATACGACTATTTGTAACGCACATTTTATACGCAGTGAAATTTGTGTATATCAGAACTTTGTCAATTTTTTGGTATTTGAAAATTGTTGAAAAGTTGTGATCATCCGAACAGAAGAGGAATTGATCATGAACTTGATCGTTATCAAGCCAACTTATAGGCATAATAGTAACCGCTGTAGTGATTGAGTTATTGGGCCGTAAGAAAACGATGGGTGCTGAATTTGGTGTTTTTGCCATATTCACATTCTTGTTATTCTTTTGCCTTCAAAGGTTCTTTTATTTTGAACGTTTACCGTTCCAATTTTCATTCAATTTTCTAAGTAATTGCGTCATTATTTTTCAACTAAATCAGATCTGATTTGTTTCATTTTTGAGAAATGATTTTTGTCATTAAATTGGAATTGAATTTTATTTTCGGAATAGAAAATTTAAAGCTGTGAAGAGGAGCCGTAAAAATGATGTATGTTTTATAAACGGCAAATATATTTACGATTGCAATGGCACATATATTTTTCATTCTATTTTGCATCACCATACGTAAATCCTCAATCGTAATATGCATACAGAAATCTGATGCACATTTTGAATTTTGACTTTCTTAAAAGAAATGTTCGAAAAAAAATCTGGTATAATATTATCAATATTATATTGTCGTCTAGTTTCATATCCAGATCACGGCTGTATTACATACGACAACTTTCTCCATTTTTAATTCCCCATGAAGACGGTTTTTTCGAATGACAATCTTGAGTTACTCAGCCGTAAATCAAGATTGTATCAAAAACTGTTTTTTGTACCAAAATCAAGCATTCATTTTTCATATTAAAAAACCAAAAAATTGCAGAAGAACCGTGACCATATTTATATTCGTCGCACGAGCCTTTATCGCAGGTTGCTTCCAATGTGCCTACGTTTATACACCTGAGGTGATTAACTGGTTATATTCACTATTTTTAAAATTTTCAAATTTAACTTTTGTCAGCAGAAATTGTCAAACAGAAACTGCGACACTCGATTCATCGAATAATCATAATTAGCAGAAAGATTTTCTAATTGTTTCATTTGGAGTCTTTTTCTTCAAAATATTCTTTCATCAACCCTACGAGTTGTTTGGCTATGCCCAACTTTGCTTATATTAATTTGATGTCAGTAATTTCACTTCTTGATGGAACCTTGCCTTTTTTCCAGTGCGCATTCGATTGCTGTTCAGTTGCATGCATGTGAGAGTTGAAAATGAGGAATAAATGACTCATTAGACAATAGGCTGAGAAAGAATTGTTGATCATTTGAAGAGGTATTTAAATGATGAAGATGTCGATTTTAATTTCAGGTTTATCCAACCACGTTGAGAGCGGTTGGGCTGGGGACAGCGAGCGGTATGGCACGGTTGGGTGCTATTTTAACGCCATTCATTTCACAGGTACGTTCATATGTGCTAGCATCGTTTTCGTATCAGTTTTTTGTACTTTCGTGAATTCATATTTCTTCATTGAATTTCATTTTCATAATCAGTGATTTTATTCATTTGCTGGATGTTTGAAGTGAGCAATTTAATTTTAAAAATAGAAAATGGATTGGGTTAGTGAATATCGAAAATAAATGTTTGAAAGACAAAATGGATTCATTTACAAATAAAAGTCGCATCAAAATAACCTCCCTGCCTTTGTTCCAGTGCAGAATGACGATCATTAATAATGTTTAATTTGAATTTACTTTGCAAATGAAACGAAAAACTTGAATGAAGAGAATGAATTTATCGTGAAATAGATATAATGAATTGCCCTGCGGCAATAATACTTCCTAAAATTCTTTCTCACATGAGACAATCCTTCATTTTGAAAACTTGATTTACTTCTGCATTCTTCACATAAAAGCGATATTTCATCNTTAATCCATAAATTCCATTTTATGTTTATTCTCGTAAACTTTGATTGAGATTAATTGCGTTGTTCAACAAAAATTTCGCCATTTTTGAATATGAATGTGACTTGAAATGACCTCACTTTCAAGAAATATGCAAATAAATAATCTCAAATTTCTGACAATGTGAAAAAATACATAAAGATTGACTTTGGAATGGTGTGACATGAAACATAGGTGTAATGAATAGTGCATATGCACATGCAGTTCAGTTAATTAAGTGTATTGATTATGTTGTTATCAATCAAATTTCACTACTTCAACGGCATCTCGATATTACAATTTCATTGACATGCACACTAGAAAGTATAATAACTTGAATGGGCTTTTGTGCGCTGGAAATAAATTCATGAATGCCTTGATTGTGAACGAATACAGTTGAGCATCGCTTGTGCAAGTAGCATTGAAGTGTCATTGAACATTACTCGCAACAACAATCATTCACAAATTTACTTCTATTTAACATGTAAACATAATCAATGATCAACGAAACACGCGAAACTCGCACGCAAATTTGAATTGCAAATGNCATTGCTGAACGAATGATCAACACAGCCATCAATGCAGCGTTTCGTTTTTTTTTAGTAATTTATTCTTTTTTTTGAAATCAGTTAATTCTGTTATCAAATATAATTATTAATTGTAATTCAAGGTCGGAGCTGAAGTTTCCGTATATATACCGATTGGTGTGTATGGCTCAGTGGCGGTCACTGGCTTAATTGCATCATTTTTATTACCGATTGAAACGAAAGGACGAAAAATGAGGGTGATTCGATTTGAGATTCTGAAATTTGATTTGAACAACTGTTTATACGAACACTGAATGAGTGATGGATAAAACTGTAACAAAATACATTTTCAGGATACACACGTTTGATGGAGGATCGATTGATCTCTTGGTTTCATTTTCAAAAATCATACATCAATTCCGAATAATAAGCAATAAATGCTTGAAATAATGTTCAATAACAGATCTATGTTATAATCTTCTAACTTATCCATGTTACCGTTATTTGCTGTCATGTTATAATCACCATCATCATTTTTAGTTGAGTATCGTTCGAGTTATCACAGTTTTAGTTTAGGTGCTTTTGTATTGTCGAATGACACTATTTGATGTCATAAAGAGTATCGTAAAGAATATCAATAAGTCTTAAATAATCATATGAATTATTAAGCAAATATTATGAGTTATATGATTTGAACATAATATTTATGTTCTTTTAATAATACTGATGAAATAAACAGTATTGTTTATCGTTTGTTAATCGTTTTGTTAAAATAAATTTTCCTCTGGCGCCGTATTATCGGCACTTTATGCATGCAGATGCAGCACAAACACTTGCACACCACCGTTCAGTCCAACCAAGTTTTTTTGACCAACTGATAATAGATGACGGGGTTGTGTCATCCGAGTGCGCCGCACATGCAGTTGTTCTTTTTGCTGATCGTTCATTTCAGTATTATCTATGAGCTTTCATAACGCCCACATTCGATTGTGTCTTTGCTTGGAGTTGAATGTGCTCGATGATGAATGCTTAATTTCAAATACACACACAAACACATCAGCAGTGCAATGTTGCGAGTTTCTTCGATTGTGCTGCTCTCGCGTTCAACATAACAATAATTGAGTTTCATAATGCTCCATGAATGAATTCAGCTTATAGAGAGTTGAACGTCTGCACGAGTCAGTAGTCTCTTTCGGTCTAGACGAGTCTTGTGTAGAGTTATTTTGTGTTAGCCTATGGGAGCATCATTAGGAAAGTAATAATTTGGATGGTTGTAAGCACGAGCACCTGACTGAACAATCATTCATCCGTTCAACTACTTGAGATATATTTGATTATTGACTTTATCGTACACCACCCTACAACAATGTAAATAAATTTCTCTGCAATCCTAGTGCAAAGAAATCCTTCAATGAACTCTCTTATTTTTTTTTTGGTGAAAATCGATTTTAATGGGGACATAACCGAAATTATTCGGCGGATTACGCAACCTTTCTGCACGAATTCTGCCCAAGCGGAATGGTTCCTTTTTTTACGAACATTATGGGAAAGCTTGTAGAACAGTGTGCAATATCAATTGTGTTGATCGCTCATAAAAGCATACTCTAAAATCGTTGCATGATGAAGTGGATCATTATTTCTATAAAAGAGGATCGATCGTATGAGATTTGAAATGATTTAACAACTCCAATAAGCCCTCATTACCCTTTTGTATTCCAGCAATTCATAGTAATCGGAACACTGATTGATGCA